TTTTTCTTGTAGATTCAAGGGTTTCTTTCTTGTGGATTCAAGATCTGCGTCTACTGAAACGATATCTAGTTTTGTGTGCATTCTGCTGTGTCACTTTCCGACAACCAAAGACGATAATACCTGGGTAATTCTATTCCTACACCATATTTTATCTCACTATACACCATTTGTGCCGTTCGGTTATCAACTTTCAATCAAAAATAAAATTTTCAAATATCAACTTCTAAACAAAACTATTTGTTCAAACAAAAATCATGTTCAATAGTTGCTATCCGAACATTTGTATTTTAAGTAGATATTTGAATATTTATATTTTGTTTGGAAGTTAATATTTGAACGGCACAAATAGTATGTACTAAGACAAAATGTGGTGCATAAATAGAATCACCCATAATACCTAGAAGAAGACTACAGAAGGCCTGATCTTCATTTTCGTAGCCCTAATTGCAAGTTGCGAACTCAAGGTTTTTAGATTTCGGCAATAGCAAGACCAAACCAGGTCTTCTTCTCCCCTCTCAATCAATCTCTCTCTTGATTATGGTCTTGCTCTTTGTTTTATCTCCTTTTCTATTATTTTATGCTTTGATTTAAGGTTTTGTTGACAATTTAGACACTTGAATATTTTAATTTGTGACGATATATGAAGAAGAATAAAATCACAGTTGCTAGGAAAATAATATTTTTAGCCTCACATAAATTAGATAAAGAAATTTCATATTTTTCCTGAATCTTATTTAATTTCAAGTATATTTCTACATAATTTATAACATCTCATCTCATCTAAGAAAATTATATAATAAGCAATATATATATATATATATATGTATTATGTGTATATTACTCATCCATACCTATATCCAAATTTGGATACGTATCCCAATATCCTAAATTTTAATTTATGAAGGTCTAATGTTCGGATACACACCTTCACATGATACTCAGACTCGAGTCCATGTAATATAGCTCAAAACATCCACATAGCAAGATATAAACACAATAGCACTGTCTCCGAATGTTTATATTAAAATGCAACATTCCATTTTGCAAAATAATAATTTTCATTACAATAAAATTTTAAAATTTCATTTAACAACATATAGTATAAAAAAATACTTTTACAAATTCAAGATCCAAATACAACATAAAAATTTGTAGCAACTAAATTCTTTTACAAGTCTACCACCAAAACCATGTCACAAAATTGGAAAAGGAGGACAAAAATGTCAGTGCCAATGAGGTCAACAGTCATGTTTTTCTTCTCCCCTTTCCATATATTATTAATTATTAATAAACTACTTGCATATTTTGTTATTTATCATGCACAATGCTATTTCATTAAAAGTGGTTTGGATTGGTTCAATTTAGGGGTAAAAAATTACTTATGGTTCTATGAAATTTGAAACCAAACTAAATCATGAAAATTTTAGAACCAAATCAGTAAACCCTAATTTGATATGATTTGGAATCACAATTTTTAGAATTCTGTTTAGGTAATTGTTTAGATATAACAACAAACTTTGAAGAATAAAAAGTTACAACTTATGCATATATATTTGATACTGATATTTGGATGCTTAATATATTATATATATATATATATATATATCTAAATGGTCTAATTATGAAATTATGGACTGAACCATAAAAATAAGTTTTATTTATTTTAATAATCAAGATTGAACTGTGTATTGAGAAAATCGAACCAAACTATACAGTCTAGATTGGTTTGGTTTGAGGCTTGTTCAATTTTTTTCTCAGCCCTATCTATCTATCTATCTTGTTAGGTTTTATTTCTTGGCAATCCCGTTTGACAAAACTCCTTTGAGTTGTAATTTTATTCGCATTTTTATTTCAGTGAGGCTATGAGTTGTTAGATGCGAATCCAACCCGAATCAAGCCTTTCAGAGAAGTTTGTGATGCTAATGCTTTCAAGATTGCCACTTCGCTGATTATGACGGGGATCGAGCTGCCCGGTCAGCTCGCAGGGGTCTAGGAGGCAACGCCCGTTAGCGGGTCTGGGGCAGCGCCCCCGAAGCAAAATGCAAAAATGCATTCCAAGTTGCCTGTCCGCTCGAGCGGACTTTATCCCGCTCGAGCGGAGAATCCCTAGTTCCAGAAGTTTTGGTCGTCTGTAAAAGTACTGAACTGTGTGATTTCGTGCTCGAGCGGGTTCTCTAGCGCTCGAGCGGACCTCTGTTATATCACGCGCATATTTTGCTGAAGCCGCTCGAGCGGGATGTTGGGCGCTCGAGCGGAGATCGCGGGACAAATTCAATAAATTCGTGTGTTGGGTCAGATTTTAGGATTACTACTTCAGATCTTCCTTTTGGGTTCTAGGGTTTATCTCTGGGGATACTTTGTGAGTTTTCTTTGATGTTTTATTGAGTATTCAACTCATGGTTTAAAGAGAGTACATCAAAGGTTTTGTTTGTTATACAAAAGAGAGAGTTGTTCTTCGGTGGATTCTGAAGAATTCGAGCCTAAAGCTTCGGTGGATTCTGGAGTGGCTCATCGTAAAGACAATTCTGAGGTGAAGACGGGGTTGGAAGAGGCACATAGAGGTTGGTTCAATTAGGCGTGGATTCGCTAGGTAATTGAGAGTATACCTGTGCAATTCCTTTAAATCTTCTTATTGGATTGTTTTGTGACTGTTGCCCGTGGTTTTTTAATCACAGTTGGAGGTGTCCAATTGTGATTTTTCCACGTTAAAATTGTTGTGTTGATTTGTCTTGATTGTTTGATTGGGATTGTTATATACTGCTTAAAATTGTTACATAATCACAAATCAATATATAGGGCATTTCTAGATTTTTCATATCTATCTATCTATCTATCTATATATTATATAAGGAAATGGGGGGTTTCTAACCCACAAGCCTTGTGGAAGCTCTAATATTCTAATCTTAATTTTCTAATTTTTTGATTTAAAAAAAAATCTCAGCATTTATTGACTTCTCCCAACCATAACCCTTTTTGACTTCTCCCATACTTACTACCACACCCTTTTCAACTTTTTTTCTTACACTATGGTTAGTGATGGGATTGTTAATTATTTTTATAAAAAAATCTTGAAAAAATACTTTGTATATTAAAAAAATATCTAAAAAAATATAATTTTTTATTAAAAAATAACAGGTTGCAATTGCAAGAAAAAAAAAAGAGAAAAAAAATTACACTATGCATTTCATTAATAATGCTAAAAAAATGTGCTAAGTGTTTGTCTGAAGGCTTGACACGTATCTACTCTCAAATTATCAAGTGAATATAGATGAAATCAAAGAGCCCAACTTTAATGAGTAATAAATTTTAGAAGTCTGACCATTGAAACCTAATAACTGTTAATTAATAGAATTCAACAATTGAAAGGTCTCAAATCACATATCTTTGTCTTCTCAAATGTTTTCCTTTTTTTGGATCATGCATTCATTCTAATATTGATCCAGAATTGGATGTGCAGAAGAGTGAGAGACATTAAAATTATATATTGAGTTATGTACTTTTTGTGATGAAAAATAAAGGTTGTCTTCCCCTTCTATGACGATTTATTTGGTTATACCTCCAAATAAAACGTCAGGTGTACTTCTACATCATTATTGAACGTTGCGTCCATTTTTTTAGATATTTTGTTTCACAATTATTTGTGTTTTGTGTTATGAAATTTATTACATCTGTGTTTGCTAAAACTATTAGATGGACCTAATGCAAGAAGTGCAGACTATTTCAATATCATTCTTGGGATTAGAAGTATAAAAAATATACACAAAAAGTATATGAATAGACAGTATTTTACAAAATTTGTTTGTGAGTCTCACTTCTTGAAAATCCTATAATTTATTTATTTTTTGTATTATATTTTATGTTTAGTTTCTGTATTTTTTATATATATAGTTTTCTTTGTTTTCTTTAATAGTTTATTTTTAAAAATAAATAAAAAAATCATTTTATATTTCAAACAATTTCATTTTTGTCTTTACTTTTTATTTTTCCTTAAAGTAGTTTTAGTTTTGAACAATTACTTACTCTTTTTTTCTATATATTTTAATTTTGTGCATTTTAAGTGTATGATATTTTCACTAATACACTCGGAGATGCACTATAAAACAAATATGATGCAAAAATCAAATAAGAAGAAAAATAAATAAATAAAACAAAATGATGAATGTGGAGCAAAGATCAAAAATCAAAACTCCCAAAGCAAGCAAGCAAGCGAACAAATAAGCAATAGATATTTGAAAATTTACAACCAAATTTTGTAACTTTCCTTTTTGATAAGAAAATTCTATTTGGTACTAGCTAAATAAAATGCTTTCCAAATAGTTTTTTTTTTTTTTTAAAAAAAATTGAAATTAAAACTATAGTAAATTTATATAAGCATAATTGTGAACCATATTTTTTTACTTAATGTATAATATTATATTGACTAACTTTTTCAAGTTTATTTTGTTAAGTATTTACATAGAAGTAGAAAAATGTCGTTAGGAATAAAGTTTTTCTTAATTTAGTTAGGGAAAATTAGTCTGAGGTCCTTCTCCCATATTTAGTAATGGAAGAGATCCACAATTTTATTTTATGATGTCTAAGGTCCCTCAAATCCCACACCCATATATCACAGAGAAATTTGACTTTCTCGAATCAAACCTCATTTTTTTTTTCTCTCTCTCACTCTAAACTTCTCCCTCTCCAATTCTGAATCGAAAAACCATTCCTATAGAGGCGTAGGTGCATCATTGCAATGGAAATCGCCTCAACAGCGGAAGAGTTTCTTCGATTCAGAGGACTTCTTTCCCGAGCCAAAGCAGTCGGTATCAATGTACAGAGAGATTGAGAAGAGATTGAAGATGAGAGGCATCGACGAGCCATCCAAGGATCTCCAGACCTTGAGGCAAAGCAGCAGAGATGGGAGATCCTCCATCAAATCCTCGCCTCGCAGCAGCAGCAGCTCCGATCCCTGCTTCTCCTTCCAGATAGAATACCAGCAGCATTGCATTTGGCAGCCCAGCTCAGACCTCATTTTCACTCTCCACAACACCACTCCCTTCGGATTCACCGTCTCCCGCCTCTCCTAGCTCCTTCGCGTCTCCGCCTCCGATCGCAATCGCCGTCGAAGAAGAAGACGATGACTGGTTTTATGTTCTTCATTAATTGTTTTCTCTTAGCACAAAAACACATTTTAATTTATATATATATATATATATATAGGTTGCTATTGTTGTTTATTCACTCAATGGAGTGAACTGTTGATAACTTTTATCTTGCTTTTGAATCTAACCTGACAATAATCCCAGTCATAAACAAAATTGACCAGCCAACTGCTGATCCAGATCATGTTAAAGCTCAGCTAAAATCAGAGAATTTCTCTAGACCAACTCAGAGAAATTTCAGTTCAAAGCAGAGAAATTTTAGTTCTAACTTGTGATGCAACTTTAATATTGATTAAGTTTACCTTCTTTACTAACCATGCAGCTAGAGAAATTTTGAATTTCTCTAGAGAGAAGGGAAGGCCACAGAAATTTAAAATTAATTTTGAATTTCTCTAGAGAGAAGGGAAGGCCACAGAAATTTTGAATTTCTTTGGATCAGAATTTCTCTAGACCAAAATTTCTCTGGACAGAATTTCTCTTGATCAAATTGAGGGACTTTAAATATTATGAAAATATTAGATGTCATTTATACTATAAAGTCTTAATACCAGGGACCCTAAAAAAAAAACCCCCATTTAGTTATAAATTTTTCCCGTACATTATTTTTAAATTTTGAATAAAAGCAAACATAAAATAATTGATTAAAGATATGTTGTATTTGTTATATTCCTTTTTCTATGCAAAAAAAAGAAAAGAAAAAAGAAGACATTTAAAAATCACAATTCACATATATACAAATAATTGTAAACATAATCCATACATAGCACAAGTGGAACACTATGTGAGAAGTTTGGTAGAATATTTAGAAATTTATTTGGGGTTCATAACATTTTTCCCACTAATTTGACAATAAAAACATAGATAGATATAGTTATTGCGCCACGAACCTTGCATTGGGAGACAGCCAAGATAACGATTGTTGCCTATATCCAGCGTTTCCAAGTTTCTCAATGTTACTAAATCTGCACTAAGAATATATATGAGTAAGTAAACTATGGGTGATTATTCAGTATTGCCAAAGTAAAGATACGTGATATTTTATAAGATTTTGATTGGTGGAGAAGTGTAAGGGACCACAATTTATGTTTGGGGGTGGAAGAACAATATAGGGCTAAGTAATTAGTGATTGGCTTGCAGTATAGTCACGTAATGTTTTGGGAGTATTGAATAATTTTTCGTAAACTATATATATATAATTAAAGAATCTCTCTATATATATAGAAACAGAGACATAGAATAGAATTGTAGGAGCCCTAGGAAAAGGCATGGAGGGAAAACGTGCCATGTGCAGGGAAGTATCCACCCGAGGAATTGTAACTAATGAGAGGGGAGATTTGCGCCGTTAGTACGGCCGAGTAGGGATTGGACGGGTCTGTTTTGCTTGGTCTCGAGGATCGGCTGACTGGGCGGAAACCAAGCCTGGCCGAGCTGCGACTAGCAAACATTCGGCGGTGCGCACAGCTAAGAGGCGAGACCGAGCTACGGATAGCTCGGGCTAAACTGTGGACAAGGGAGGGATGACACGTCTCTGACCGGTGAGCTGAGATGGGAAGATTCAATATAACCTCGGATGAAGGTAGAACGGACGGGGGCCAGCATGCCTCGCGACCGGTATGCCACGACGAACCGGTCAACTCCAGCCCGGTCCATGGGCGTCCCCCCCGCTGCCCCTTTGCCAAGGGGCAGTCCGGTGGGGCATAGCGCGGTTGAGCGCCTGTAGCGATAGTTCTTCTTGGGAAATAGGCCGGTCGTGGTACTGCGGTCAGGTGTGCCACCTGGGCTAATGGCACGAAGGAAGGGACATCTGCTCCACATATGCCTCAATACCGTTAGGCAGTTCTGCGTGTACTGTTGGGAGGACTAAGCCTTTACACGCGTAAGGTGGTGAGAGGCGAGTACTGCCACCTATCTTGGGAAGGACAACAGAGGTAGTGCGCGCATAATCTTGAGGCTGCATGGCCAGCCTTGAAATAGGGAGGAGGGCGAACGTTAGAGGTATGCAACTTCTTCCCCAAAAGAAAACACTCTCTCTCCCTATCTGTCTTCTCCTTCTTCAAGTGGACTGACTTGATCGTCGGAGGGTCTTTCCGACACGCCACCGTCGGGCAGCTCACCGTTTCTGTGTTACTAGGTAGACGTCGTCACGAGAAGCTTAGAGTACAACAACTTTAATATTGATTAAGTTTACCTTCTTTTCTAACCATGCAGCTAGAGAAATTTTGAATTTCTCTGGAGAGAAGGGAAGGCAAGAGAAATTTTGAATTTCTCTAGATTAGAATTTCTCTTGACCAAAATTTCTCTGGACAGAATTTCTCTTGATCAAATTTGAGGGACTTTAAACATTATGAAAATATTAGATGTTCTTTATACTATAAAGTCTTAATACCATGGACCCTAAAAAAAAAACCCCATTTAGTTATAAATTTTTCCCGTACATTATTTTTAAATTTTGAATAAAAGCAAACATAAAATAATTGATTAAAGATATGTTGTATTTGTTATATTCCTTTTTCTATGCAAAAAAAAGAAAAGAAAAAAGAAGACATTTAAAAATCATAATTCACATATATACAAATAATTGTAAACATAATCCATACATAGCACAAGTGGAACACTATGCGAGAAGTTTGGTAAAATATTTAGAAATTTATTTGGCGTTCATAACATTTTTCCCACTAATTTGACAATAAAAACATAGATAGATATAGTTATTGTGCCACGTACCTTGCATTGGGAGACAGCCAAGATAACGATTATTGTCTATATCCAGCGTTTCCAAGTTTCTCAATGTTACTAAATCTGCACTAAGAATATATATGAGTGAGTAAACTATGGGCGATTATTCAGTATTGCCAAAGTATAGATACGTGATATTTTATAAGATTTTGATTGGTGGAGAAGTGTAAGGGGCCACAATTTATGTTTGGGGGTGGAAGAACAATATAGGGCTAAGTAATTGGTGATTGACTTAGAGTATAGTTACGTAGTGTTTTGGGAGTATTGAATAATTTTCCGTAAACTATATATATAATTAAAGAATCTCTCTATATATATAGAAACAGAGACATAGAATAGAATTGTAGGAGCCCTAGGAAAAGGCATGGAGGGAAAACGTGCCATGTGCAGGGAAGTATCCACCCAAGGAATTGTAACTAAAAATCAAAGTCTTAATTGAAGCGAGAGCACCCAAACATCGAAATATATTACTGTCATTAAAGAGGTTGGAACCAAGATCCAACTTCTCCAGCTTCCTCAAACTTGACAACCCTTCAAATCCTGCAAAAACAAACTTCCATTCCATCACAATAAAACATGAATTTTTAAATGGGTTGGTTTTTTTCAGCTAACTTTGGCAATATGGATTGTCAATTTTTTAAGATTGGTTAAATAGAATATTTAAGTGAAAATTTAAATGATTAGATAAAATTATATTTATTTTAATAAAAAAAAAATAGATGACAATTATAATGTTAAAAGTAGTCATTTATTTTTTATAGTACAAATATAATTTATCAGTAGGTTTTTTTATTATTATCAAATCACATTTATATATTCAAATTACATTTATCATTTATTTTTTTATACAAATATGATTTAATGGAAAGACTATCGATATCCAATTAATTTGATTTTTACAAATATGTTTTACCTGATAAACTTTAAAAAGTTTACAATTTAGATCATTAAAATAGACTTGGATTGTTTTGGGAAGTGACTTACAAGCTGGCTTTTTGGCTTATTATAAAAAAATATGCAGAAAATGAAGAAGTAATATGACCCAAATAAGTCAGGATAAATTACCAATAGGTCCTATTTTTGGGACTTATTACCTATTAAGTCCTATTGATATCAACCTCTTTTATTTTTATGAATAAATTTATGGTGATAAATTTATTAATCAGGACCTGTAGATAAATAAATGTAATAATATGCATAAGTTAATTGAGGTGGCATCTCTTCAATGGTGAACTTAAAATATGAGGCTTTAGCCTGATTTAATTTAGAGATTTTTACCCATAAATCCTATTTGATGTACTTCTATTTCATTAGATTTCGTAATTTTTTTCTTAATCAATAAAGTCTCGTCATATACATATTTTTTTCTAGTCAATTGATAGAAGAATAATTACAAATATATGAAATATTACATCATCAAATAGACTACTATCCCACAATAGTTAGAAAGTCAACTAATAAACTAAGTCCACCAAGCCCAAGCCCAAGCCCAACAACTACTAATCATAAACAATCCCTATAATGGGAAAGAAATAAATATCACCACAAAGGGTATCAAACTCCTCTCCAGAAGAGTTGAATCCAAAATCTCACACCACAAAGGTACTACACAACCACAAAACCAAACGCCCTAGTTATCATATAAGTTGTTTGCATGATTAAAGGGTGCCTCTATTTACCCCCCAAAAATTGGTCCCTATAGTAAAATGTATTCTATTAGTTTGGACATTCCAAATAATATCCATTATATCCCAAAAATCATATAAAATATATTTAGTACACCCCATGAAGTTAGAAGATAAAATTTTAAAGGTACAAAAACACATAGTCAAATATATATATATATATATATTTGGATATTTAATACTGAACAAAATTTAATTTATTTGGAAACAAATTTCCAAACATATGTAATTTGTTTAGAAATATAATGCTGAATAGTTTTTTTTTTTTCAGAATTGGAATATAAAGAAGTTAAAAAAAAATGTTCGAAAATATAAAGTCAAACATAAATTATTTGTTCTGATAATAAATAATGAACAATATCAAATAATTTAAAAACACAATGCCGAATATATAAAATTTCTTTAAAAATAAGTTTTCGAATAAATTATAATTTGTTTGGTACTGAATTTCCAAACAAATTACATAAATCCATCGGCCAAAAATGATGAAGATAAACAGAAAATCTACGCTTTATAAAAAATAGCTTGGAAATGTTTTCTTCATTGTCTATTGTTAACTTCAATATGAAATAGAATGCAAAAATTATAGATTCAAGAAAAATATGATTGAATATGAAGATGTAAAGTGAATAGAGTGAGAAGAGAAGAGAGAAGAACAAAGGAAATATTGAAATTGATTATAGATGGAGTGTCCAAATCATTATAATTTGTATTTTTTTTTAATATCAAAGACTTTTTAATCATTTTAAATAGTGACGTAATAGTGATAAAAATATTTTATAAAGTAAAGGTGTCCAACCAATCTTTTGGTTGCAAATAGAGCCATCCAAGATTAAGTCATTTTTCAAAATTTTAGATATGTTTACCTTATTTATGTGGAACAATTGAAATAGTCAATATACTTGGGGTTAGCTCCTCTTCAGTCTGGAAATGAATTGGATAGCATTGTTATGCTGTTTTAGGCTAGACTCCAGGCCTATCTCAACAATCTAAACAGTACAATATGTTGAGCTCGTTGAGTACATCATTTTTGTAAAAAATTACGTTAATCGGATATCGATAGCCACTTGATCAACATGCATTTATCTCTGCGATTTATTTTTAAAATCATAATTGTCGTTGAAGAAATGCAATCTGATCAAATATTTATCAATATCCGATCAACGTGATTTTTTGCAGGAATGATATACTCAACGAGATCTACATATCGAATGGTTTGAATTATTGAGATGGGCTCAAAATTGGGCCCACCAAGACCTAATAGCATCGTCTAGTCTAATTAAAGACTGGAGAGAAGCAGTGGCTATATATTTATATGGTAACTATTATTTTTTATACTTCAAATTTTAAAATCCTATAACTTTCAATGTACACATTTGTTTTCGATAAAATTTATATTTTTTAAAATTAATCGACGAGATCTATCAAACAAAATCTTAATTGAATATAAAATTATGAAAAATAAAAAATAGGGATAAAACTTTACACTTTTTTAAACTTGAAAATGTAACTTCTAAATTTTCACATTTTTAGACATATTTTTAAAATTTCACATAGTTTTTGAATTGGAAATTTTTAAAATTTAAATTTCTAATAGTATAAAATTTCACATATTTGAAATGTAAACAACATAGAAATAAATTTCACAGTAAATTTTTACAGTAAGACAAGTTTTTTTTTTTTTTTTCTCTCTCCTTTTTTAAAAGTGATTTTCATATTTTTGAAATGTAAAAAGTACGAGTTCATAATTTTTTTATTGAATATTTTTTTAATTTTACAGAATAAAATATTTGAATGTTCACAATTGTTACAAATAAAGATAGTGTGATTTTTTTAAAAAGTGCAAATATTCACATTTTCACTGAATAAGAAAAATGTGAATGCTTGAAAATTATGAATATATTTTTTTTAAATGTGAATAATTACATCAACTTTTACACTTTCTAAAAAAGCATAATACTTTGTTTATTGAAAGTATGAATATTCACATTACTAATTATTACATTATTTAAAAATTCAAACTAAATAAAAAATAGATTATAGTGTAAAAGATAAATTAGATTAGATACCCTAATGAAACATTATAAGGAAAAAAAATCAATAAATCCTATTTTACTTTTAAGATTACTATTAAGTGTTTGAATATGGACAACTAAGGCCTCGTTTGGGAAGTGGCTATTTTAGAAGCTTTTTGGCTATTTTAGTAGGCTATTTTAGTTTTTGTGTTTGAGAAGATGAGATGGATTTTTATTTGAGTTGTTGTATTAAAAAATGTGTTGAAATGATGTTTGAAGTTAAAATGACAAATTTGTCCCTAAAATTACAATTTTTTAAATTGATGTAAAGGGGCAAAATCGTAATTTACCAAGTGATGTAACAATTTGTCAATGTGACAGTGTAGGCTGTGTACCGACAGCTGCACCTATATTTTTTTTTTAATAAAAAGGGTTGAACAGTGAGGCTTTTTGGCTTATTTTTAATTTGGGGCTATATTAGCCTGAACCATTGTTTCCCAAACAGCACCTAAGTCATGTTTGTAATAAATAATTCCCAAAAGATCCATTGCTTTATAATGGTGTATTTTATCCCAATTTTACTTTTATTTAATATGAATAACAATTTTATAAATAATATTAACTTAATTAAAATTTAAATTTTTAACTGTAAAAATTATTAATATTATATTAGAAAAATCACAAATAACAATTTAATCGAATCAAGTATAGTATAACATATTATTCCAAATTATGAATTCTTTTAGTGAAAAAAAAAAATCTAAAAGGCTAAATTCTATTAAAATTACAAAGAGCTAAGAAAAATAATACTATGAAAAATTTATATATTTCTCAATCATGAGATAGTTGATGGATCTTATATTTATAGTTTTGTTTATGAAAATTCATTTAATTTGAACAACTAAAAGTAAATTAAAAATTATTTATTAAATTTTTGGTTCATATTTCAATGAGAAAGATAAAATTACTATTATGAACAATTGAATTTTTTTTATAACAATTATAATAAATAAAAAAATTATTTGTTAAAATCAAAATTTGATATAACTCAATAGTAATTTTCAAAACAAAATAGAACTTATTGATAATTTTTTCACTGTGGTTTATGATTTATTTTAGGAAAATTTATTAGAAATTCTCTTTCAAATACTTGTATCCCAATTAGTCCATAACATATATTCTTGTATTGAACCCTTAACAACTTGGTGTGCAATATTTTGAACTATTTTGTACTTTTTATATATTAAAATTTAAAAATTCATAATTTTTGTTGTACATATATATATATATATATTTATGAAATTTATATTTTTGAAACGTAGTTTTCGAAATCTATCAGATAAGATCTCACTTGAATATGTAATTTTATAAAATAAAAACAAATAGATAAATTTGAAAGTGTGAATGTTCACATAATGAAACATTCATATTGTCAATATAAACATTAATGCGCACCTTACCCTATTATTATTAGGGATATTTTGATAACTATGTCACCCATTGGACTAATTGAAATATAAGAAAATAATTTGAACTAAGTGAAACATAAGAAGGTAAAAAGGGATTTATGAATAAATACCCCATTCTTTTTAAATACAATATCATATTTTCTACAATTAAAAAATATTACTTTACTTAAATTAAAAATATTTATAAATTGGTGTTCATATTAATGAGTGGTAAAATTGAGATAACATGCATCATTATAGAGCAATGAACTTTTTGGAAATATTTTATGAAAAATAGGACTTAGGCCTCGTTTGGCAACAGACCGGTTTAGCTAAAAAGTCAAAAAATTATTAAAAAAGCCAACAACCCATCCCAAAAAGTCAAAAAGTCAAAAATTCTCTTTTCACTCTACTTTTTGCACATCTTTTCGTAAAAAGCCAAAAAATCATCCCAAACATACTAGTTTTTTTTAGTTCATATTTTAGCCAAATGGCCAAAAAATTACTAAATTAGTTTGTTCCCAAACGAGACCTTAGTTATAGTAATCTTATGAGTAAAATAGGACTTATTGGTTATTTTCCCATATTATAATTAAGTTCCATATTGAATTGAGGTTCCCTTTCCAAATTTGAAGATAGGATTTTTTTGGTCATTTCAAAAGTTAGGGAGAATTACTCGACACTGGGGCAAAGAAAAAAATTAAAAGAAACATGTGGGGTGCAAGTGAATTTGTGGTGGGGTGCAAGTTGCACCCTTCCATGTTTGTGTATTTTCTTTTTCTTTGTCTAACTATTAAGTAATTCTCCTTAAGAAAATATGGAATTGAATTGTAAATTATGAATAGAATTAAATGGAATACAATAAATATGGAATTTATCAATAAAAATCCCTTTAATTTCTTTGTGATATATATACATATAAATTGAAAGGGTCAAGTTACTAATGTCACTAAAACTTAAATTATTAAAAAAGAAAATATCCAAAATGTATATCAAGTTACGAATATAAACTGAAAGTGATAGATCATCAATTGTTCCTAAAGGTTTCAATTGTCCCTAAAAGTTGTTAAAAAGGGAAGAAGAAGAATATGCTAAAAACAATATTAAGAGTTGTTAGTAATAAAAAAATGTGTAAAAGTATTTTAGAATATGTGAAAAATGTATTGGAATTACAAATTTTTTGGCCAGTTATGGTGTTTATTGACAACCCTAAGGACGGTTATTAGCAAAGCCCCTTAAAAAGTCCGGCACAATAAATAAATGAATATATATATCTTTACTACTATATATTTTATATCAAAATCACAATTTATATTTTTTACAGATTTACCAATACACCCACTAATAAATCAATAACATATATATATCAAGCTAACATAAACTAACTTAAAATTCTCCTACTTTAATAATAGGCTCCATTTGGGGACTTGAATTTGTAGTCAAAAATTAAAATTCACTATAAATTATCACATCATTCTATTTATTTTTTTATATGCATTTTTTTAAAAAAATTAAAAACTTAATTTAAATTGTCAATTTTCAAACGGGATGGAGTTGGGATATTATTGTGCCCAAACACAAGGAGCCTAATTGTCCTAGGACAGGTGGGCCTATTTATAGAACGTCAAGATGATTTAAATTATTTATCTTATAGAATAGGTAGAAGATTATTTATATATATAAAAAATTAAATTAGTTGGACTTGGATAACTACGTAATCATATTACATTTGTCTTTTAAAAAAAATTAACCATAAATTTGATTTTGAGAATAAATTTTTAATTTTTTAAAAGAAAATATAATTTGATTATATAACTACTGATACCTAATTAATTTAATTTTTACATGAATTATTTGATAAGTTTTACAAATTAAATAGTTCAACTCATCTTAATAGAGCCTGGAGTAGACTCCATTTAAGTGGAGCTCGTACAGAAACTTTTGTACATTTTAAGATTTGTTTAGAAATGTAAAATATAAACAGTCATACGGTGTCCCAGATTTGTTTAAAAGATTTATTTTTTATTTTTTATTAATGAATCAAAAAGATCTATTTGAATTATTTAACTGTTTATATTGTGCGATTCATTGAATAGATCATTTTTTAAAATAAAAAAAAATAGGAAGCTTACGTATAGGTACTAATAGGTGAACTTATTGTCCAATAGGTCCTATGCTAATTAATGGTATTTTTCAACAAACACTATTAAAAAAATTCACTAATTGTTAATTTTCAGTAATAGTTTGAAATTTTTGTCATAAGAAATGTCACTAATTATATGTTTTAGCGACAGTTTAAAAAAATTGTCACAAAAAAAATATCACTAATTTTCAACTTTCAATGACAATTTAAAAAATTTATCCCAAAAACGTCACTAATGCTAAGTTTTAGCGACAATTTATGAAACCGTGACAAAAAAAGGTCACTAATTGTCAATTTTTAGCGACATATGTAAAAAATCATCACAAAAAATTATTTTTAGCGACGATTTTACTAGGACTTATTTTCAATAAGATTCGATGGGAATTAAGTTAAACTATTACGACTTATTAGTAGTTTACCTTAAAAAAACCAAATTAATTGGACATCTATAACCTCATAATAAAATCACATTTATATTTAAATAAAATAAACAATTAGCATGATTTTCATAATCTTTTAGAAAATAATTAAGGCTTAATCATATGTTTATGCATGTCTAATTAATTTTATTTTTCATATATAAATAATATAAACCTTATAATATGAATCATAATAAGTCCGGATAAACTCGGGTGGGCCATGGATCATATTAGCAGAGTTACGTACCTTGATTGTCAATCCAACCACTAAATAAATTATAAGACAAGTTGAGGTTTCGGAGCTCTTCGAAAGGAAGGAAGACAGAGACATTTATGAACCAAATTCTGTTTTGGTGGTATTCTTTGAAATCTACTTCAGATCCGAAAAATCCACTAGATCTGTAAAAATATTCATCGCCTGATATATCTCTTATATTATGCAGAGAGAGCTCAGTCACGTGCCCTGTGGTGGGATCGCATGTGACTCTCTCCCAATCACAGCACTCATTCAGATGATGATCTGCTGGTTTCTCAACCCAGGTAGGGAGGATACGGTCTGCATCAGCACCGTTGGATTTGAGGAAGTCCTTGAATTCCAATAGACCCCTCCTCTCTCCTTCCAAGCAACCACCACTGTGTCCAGTGAAATGAATCAAAACTATTAGTACCCACATAATACCAAACGTGCCCAGAAAAACCAAACCCATTTGTGCAAAAATTAAAAAAAGGAACTATATGAATGTAACCAACATATAGTTCTTTGTATATATATAACAATCTATGCTGTGTATATGCAAAGCTTGATCTAACATACTTGGATTGGGTTGTACAGGTGGCAAGCATCCCGTGGATCTATGGCTGATAATTATGGTTGGGTGTCCTCCTCAGGACTTTGATTATCCTTGTTGGAAAAATGATTTGAAAACCATTAATAGTTGAATAAGAAATTAATTTTAAAATGTATCATTTAAGAATGGTTTTAAGATAATATTTATTTAATGTAAAATTTGATTTTATTTAAATAAATTCGTTAATTTTTTGGGTCAAAATTGAATATGATTCGATTTAGAATTCGAATTCTTTTAAAAGAACGATCATGTCTTTTTAGTTATACCTTTTCATGAAAAAGAGATGACTCTTTTGAAAAGTCACCATAACCATTCGAAGAGCCACCAATTCATCTATATAAACAGGCGCCATTGCATTCATTAAAAAAAAAAAATATCATTTCTTCTGCACTCTCTCTTTACTATAAGAGAATTCTACACAGTAAGGTTTGTCAGACTTGTCGTGGTAGTGTTGTTTCTGCAAGATTCGATTTTTATATCTTGGAAGACAAATGTCCAATAAAAACTCGTGAGCACCGTAGCAGGGGACAAATTTGTCTTAAGGAAATTGTGTCTAACACAATCCTCGATCAAATTGTTTTTTCATTTCTAGATTTTTACAATCTGTTTGTAAGTTTTCTACTTCTCTGTAAGTATTTTTGGTTCTCATTATATGCTTTGGTTTGGTTTAACCCAAACAATTTATGTTATATTCAACTTATATTTTTTTATATAATTTGATAATATATATAGTGTAATTATTGCATGTTCACACAATACATATAAGGAGATTTTTCCTACACCATCATCATTGCCACCAATGTGATTGTGGCCACCAGTATTTATCATTGCCACCAATGTGATTGTGGCCACTAGTATTTTTGCAAACTCTATTATCTAACACTTCATAGCAGAAATAATTACACAAAGCTCACAAGATCATAAGTGATGGAAAATCTACAAGACAAATTCCAATACCAATGACAATACATATCAAGTATTTGATAAATGCATAATCCAACTCTAGGAAATATTCTTGAATTTGGTTATGAATATTTTGGGTTTATATGCTAGAGAGGCCGGTTTTGTGTAGCGTCAGATTTTTGTTTTCAAATCTTTTTATTTTTATTTTTTAAAATATTCATGACAATTAGATTATGTTTGACATTATCAAACTTCAAGAATTTCAATGAATTGGGACATTTAGAAACAGAGTTTTTTGACTAATTTGTGTAGCTAATGTGGCAGTTATTGATGTTTGAATTGTTTTAAGAAGTTGGTTAAAAATTGATTTATGATCTTTTTTTTTTAAATGTATAAAAAAGTAAAGAAGTGATTTGATTTAAAATAGATTAAAAGTCAAGGAAGCACGGATACGGATACGGGATACGGGTACGATACAATACGGATACGGCGATATGACAAAATTCAAAAAAGTAGGATACGGATACGGCGGGAATACATTCATAAAAAATATTTTTTTCACAATTTTTACTAATATAGCATATACAAAAAATTTACAAAGTTCATTTATTTATCAAAAAGTTTATTTATTTATTTATTAATAAGTTTTTTTTACCTTATTTGATTTACTAATAAGTTTACAGAGTTTATAATTTTATAAGTTAACAAAGTTTATTTTTAATAAGTTTATTTATTTATTTATTAATAAGTTTTTTTGTCTTATTTGATTTATTGTTTTTACCTTTTATTTTACCTTATTTGATTTATTAATAAGTTTATTTTTTTACCTTTTTTTTTACCGAATACAAATACAAAGCTTTTTTGTTTTTTTCCCTCATTTTATTTTATTTTATTTACTGAGGTGCCCAAGTCTTAAGGACGGTCAAAAATGGGGTGTCTACAGTTGCCCCTCTTTGACAGAACTCGAAAGTCATAACAATGACGGGAGTGAATGTCAAAGCCCAGAGACGACCCATTTTTGACAAGGTTGAAGACTCAGACAAACATGCAAGACAAACAAGGTATGCGCCCGAAGGCAGGGGCAAAATGCAAGACAATACACGAAGCCGAGCATAACTTATGATCATCCAAAGAAAAACTGTAACGAAGCATAACATGCGACAGTTTTAAGCTAGCATACACCAAACTACACTACAATGCAGAAAGGATGAAAGAGAATTATGTAATTCTTGATACGTCTCACTTGGAGGATACAATACCTGTGCGGTTCGTCTGGTTGCACCAGCCTCAAATGAACCGTACATACAATATCGTGCCTGTAAAGAAAACAACTCAACAGGTACGATGTTGTTAGAAACATGCATGATAATGCAAAAATAGATGCAAAATGATATGCAATATATACAAGACAATGTATAAATAATGCAAATGAAGATGCAATGTAATTGAAGCAATGCAAACTATATGCAAAGCAATTGAATCATGATCTAATCATGAGCGGTTCGAAACCACGCTTATGTCAAATAGGTTGATGGAGGTAACAAGTCCGTCTACCATAGAACGGTCTACTGAACTATGAGTAATGTAGACGGACGCAAGAACAAGTATTTGGGGGGAATAACATAAGTGAGGTAACGACCCGCTGGGGAAAGGACTACGATCCTAATGCTGGATGCAAAAAATTACACTATAATGCAATATATATATGGATATGCTGGGGAGATGGCAATGGACATGGCACGCGGGCCAAACCAAATCTTGCCTAGGAAAGGCATGTACAGTCAAATCCCGAATGGATATGGCCTGCGGGCCAAACCAAATCTTGCTTAGGAAAGGCATGTACGCGTACAAGCCGCGTCTAACATAGAACGGTTCACTGAACTATGTTTTGACACGAGACGTATGGACACATACCAGACCAAGCTCAACATGGAAAGGCGCAAGCCATAGGCGGAGGTGATGCAGTGAATGCATGCGAATTACAATGCAATATCTACAAATATGCAATGGAATGGAAATGCAATATAATGGATATGGCCTGCGGGCCAAACCAAATCTTGTTTAGGAAAGGCATGTACTCGTACAAGCCGCGTCTAACATAGAACGGTCCACTGAACTATGTTTTGACGTGAAAAGTATGGGCACATACCAGACCAAGCTCAATGTGGAAAGGCAAAAGCCATAAACGAGGGCGATGCAATTAATGCATGTAAACTACAATGTAATGGAAATGGATATTTACAATGGATATGGCCTGCGGGCCAAACCAAATCTTGCTTAGGAAAGGCATGTACGCGTACAAGCCGCGTCTAACATAGAACGGTTCACTGAACTATGTTTTGACACGAGACGTATGGACACATACCAGACCAAGCTCAACATGGAAAGGCGCAAGCCATAGGCGGAGGTGATGCAGTGAATGCATGCGAATTACAATGCAATATCTACAAATATTACAATGATGCATGACAATGCAACTATTTACGATGATGGGTGACAATGCATGTGTTTTTTTGTTTTTGAAATGCAAATGATGTATAAAATGCATGTTGCATGGAATGCGCGACAACACGCGGCTTTTGAGATGCATGACAATGCAAACGAACTATGCACATCAATGCGCCAAAGGTCTTGCACCTTCCAAGGATTTAAGGTCTCCTAGACCGTTGAATGTACAAACACCGAAGGACTTGCACCTTCTGAGGATTTAAGGTCTCCTAGACCGTGGAATGTACAAACACAGAAAGACTTGCACCTTCTGAGGATTTAAGGTCTCCTAGACCGTGTATACTTGTGCGGCTCGTCTGGTTGCACCAGCCTCAAATGAACTGTACATACAATATCGTGCCTGGAAAGAAAACAAACTTTACAGGTACAATGTGATTAACAATATGCGTATTAAAGTATTTGAAAATGCGTGACAACGCAAAGCAGGTGGGAAACACGACCATGCTGTGAAAGCACAGACATGTAAGCGGAGCACGCGGTCTACGTGGGCAACGAAATTGATCATGAGCATGCGGTCTACGCAAGCGATGAGTTTGGACATAAGCATGCGGTCTACGCAAGCAGAACATGCGGTCTACGCAGGTAATGAAGTTGGTTTCAAGCATGCGGTCTACGCAAGCGAAACATGCGGTCTACGCAAAAAAAATATGCGGTCTACGTAGGTAAAACATGCGGTCTACGCAAGTAATAAATTAACATGCATGCGGTCTACGCAAGTAAAACATGCGGTCTACGCAAGTAATGTAATTTGAACAATCATGCGGTTTACGCAAGCAAAACATGCGGTCTACGCAAGTAATGAATTTGAACAATCATGCGGTCTACGCAAGCAAAACATGCGGTCTACGCAGGTAAAACATGCGGTCTACGCAAGTAATGTAATTTGAACAAATATACGGTCTACGCAAGCAAAACACGCGGTCTGTGCAGGTAATGAAATTTGAACAAACATGCGGTCTACGCAAGCAAAACATGCGGTCTACGCAGGTAATGAATTTAACAAACATGCGGTCTACGCAAACAAAACATGCGATTTACGCAGGTAATGAAATTGAACAATCATGCGGTCTACGCAAGCAAAACATGCGGTCTACGCAAGTAATGAAATTGAACAATTATGCGGTCTACGCAAGCAAAACATGCGGTCTACGCAAGTAATGAAATTGAACAATTATGCGGTCTACGTAAACAATACATGCGGTCTACGCAGGTAATGAATTTAACATGCGGTCTACGCAAGCAATACATGTGGTCTACGCAAGTAATGAAATTTGAACAAATATGCAAAATGCAATGAGATGCGCAAAACAGCGCGATACGTCAGACAACGCGAGTGCACAAGACAGTGCCATGGTTTGAAATGCACAAGACAGTGCGATAGATATATGATGCACTAAACAGTGCGATAATTTGAAATGCGCAAAACAGTGCGATGATTTGAAATGCACAAAACAGTGCGATGACATGCGATACGCATGGGGCAACTTTTGAATTTCGTAAAAGCCAAAAGGATACGAAAAGGATACACCTTGCGCGAATTCGAGCGCCACGCACAGAAGACACGACCCGAGGTCAAAACGGAGGCCGGCTGAGCGTCGGAAGTGCACTGTTTTGCACTGTTTTGAGCACTAAAGGCCCTGGACCCCACACATAACTCAAACAATGGTGTAGGAGGCTCCAAAATCAC